TCAGATAATTATTAGTCGAGTATTGTTGATGTCATGACATTTCCCTTTACAAATCTTAAGCATGAACCTAACAGAAAAAAAAAAAAAAAGGTCAACAAGCTAGCAACATGGTTTAGAAGATTTTCAGAGAAGGCTATGATACAGATCAGTCCTAGGCGGTGTGATCAGTAATAACATAATGTTTTAGTTGGTAGTTTGTGCTTATAGGTGATTCTTTTTTATATCTTCTTCTTATGTTATTGCAGACTGAAATTGCGGCCAGGGCAAGAGAAGAGGTCAGTGCTTTAAAACATGCGAATGAAGATCTGCTAAAGCAAGTGGAAGGACTTCAGATGAACAGGTTTAGTGAAGTTGAAGAGCTAGTGTACCTTCGTTGGGTCAATGCATGCTTGAGATATGAACTCCGTAATTATCAGATACCTGGAGGAAAAATATCGGCTCGTGATCTCAATAAAAGTCTGAGCCCCAACTCACAAGAGAAGGCTAAAAGATTACTATTAGAATATGCTAGTTCAGAACGTGGGCAAGGCGACACAGATCTTGAAAGCACATCCTCTCCCGGAAGTGAGGATTTTGATGATGCTTCCATTGACAGTTCCAATGGTAGATATAGCAGTCTCAGTAAGAGACCTGGCTTAATCCAAAAACTTAAGAAATGGGGCAAGAGCAAAGATGATTCGAGTGCCTTTTCATCACCTGCCAGACCCTTCTCTGGTGGCTCTCCAAGCAGGACTAGCTTGAGCCTCCACAATCGGGGTCCATTGGAATCACTTATGCTAAGGTATGCAGGTGATGGGTGTTGCAATCACGACTTTCTTAAAATGGAGCAGGAACTCGCTGATTCTGTTGCAGCTTCATTCCACTTGGTGTCTAAATCAGTAGATGGAATTCTAGAGGAAAAATATTCTGTTTATAAGGACCTCCATAAGTTGACCATGGAGAGTGAGAAACAAATTAAGCATAAAGCAGAACAAGCAAGGGCAGAGAAGTTTGGCGAGAAGTCAAACTTCGAGTCTAGAGCAAAAGCATCTGTAACTTTACCACCAAAACTTGCTCTTATAAAGGAGAAGACTATTGTTTCTGGTGACAAAAGTGAGCAATCCAATGATGATAAGACTGTAGACTCCCAAACTATAAGCAAGATGAAACTTGCTCACATTGTAAAGAGAGCACCTAGGGTGCCCAGACCACCACCAAAGCCATCCAGTGGCGCTTCTGATGGAACAAATACTACTACAACAGGACAACCTCCTGCTCCACCTCCACTACCCGGTGCACCACCACCACCACCGCTACCTCCTGGTGGACGACCACCACCTCCTCCTCCAGGCAGTCTACCTAGAGGGACAGGCAGTGGTGATAAAGTTCACCGAGCTCCTGAACTTGTTGAATTTTATCAGACATTGATGAAACGGGAGGCAAAGAAGGACACTTCAAGTTTGATTTCTACAACGTCTAATACATCAGATGCTACGAGCAACATGATTGGGGAGATAGAGAATAGATCGTCATTCCTGTTAGCTGTATGCTTAAGTTTTCTTTCCTTTCATTTATCTGCTTATCTTCAGATCAAATGTAGGTGTTCTTTAACCGAAATTAACATTTAACAATACGAGATCAAATGAATTCATCCAGGTAAAAGCTGATGTGGAAACTCAAGGTGACTTTGTTCAGTCCTTGGCAACTGAAGTTCGAGCAGCTTCATTCAACAACATAGAAGACCTGGTGGCTTTTGTAAATTGGCTAGATGAGGAACTTTCCTTCTTTTTTTATGGAATAAAATATTCATGATTTATAATAATATATTTCTTTCAGAGGTATTCATGGTTTGAATTTGAAAGAGATCTTGGAACTAAGCCATGGGTCTAAGACATTCGATTTTGCTCTGTCTTCAGATCTATTATTTTTCCAGTCACCATGAAAGACTAATGTCATTGCTTTAACTCATATTGTGTGCAAGATGTACTTAGTCTATACGAACCCTGTTGTTCATTTATCAACAGATAGAAATTGTCTGCCTAGTGTGTACTTTATTTGCTGAATTATCTTTCTGCACCCATCTAGGTTGATGAACGAGCAGTTCTCAAGCACTTTGATTGGCCTGAAGGAAAAGCCGATGCATTAAGAGAGGCAGCTTTCAAATATCAGGACCTAGTGAAGTTGGAGAAGCAGGCCTCTTCCTTTGTTGATGATCCAAACCTTCCATGTGAAGCTGCTCTAAAGATCTACAAGTTGCTTGAAAAGTAAGTAATAAAACCCAACTCGGATAGCATTTCAGTATTAACTAAGAATCTCTTAGGATGGTAGAGATGCACTTTCTCTTGTCATATTCTAATTTTCTATTTCCTTTTTTGTTTCTTCAGAGTTGAACAAAGTGTATATGCGCTCTTGCGTACAAGAGACATGGCTGTTTCATGATACAGGGAGTTCGGAATTCCTGTCAATTGGTTATTAGATTCTGGGATTGTTGGCAAGGTATGGACCATAACAATAGACTAAAAGTTTGCTTTGGTAATTCATGCAATTGTAGTTTTATACATGGAACTTTCCAGTGGTAAATAATATGATAAATGGAACGTAGCTCAATACGTGGCTTGTTGTTACAATGAATTGATGATGTAATCGCAAGCACGAAGAATACCACGACAAATAGAAAACTAGTATGCAAATCTTTTTCCTGATATACTTTATGTTTTCTTATGCATATTGCAGATCAAGCTTTCATCTGTACAATTGGCAAGGAAATATATGAAATGTGTAGCATCAGAACCTGATGCATTGAGTGGACCTGAGAAAGAACCAAACAGAGAGTTTATACTTCTGCAAGGGGTCCGTTTCGCGCTCCGTGCTCATCAGGTATTTTAGCTTTGCACTTGGTTCCCCTCGTTTAAGATGTCTGGTTTAACGTCTTTAACAAACAAATTCTGATCAAAAGAATTATTCCTACCGCTTCAAGTAATGGTGTTTGAATATTTTCTGCCAGTTTGCGGGTGGTTTTGACGCGGAAAGCATAATGCTTTCGAAGAACTTAGGAGCCGAGTGAATATTACACAAATGGGAGAAGAAAACAAGCCGAGGGAGGCATGATAAATATAGACTATTTTTTGCCTTGTTTATCCACTGCTCCGTTGTATATTGCTTTTATACTACTAGTAGTCGACGGTGTTGCATTATAAATGACTCCATATAGGTTGGATATTGCACAATGAATGTATGCAGAGACAGATAAATGAAAGATTAATATTAGTAGCAGAGTATTAATTTTAAGGCTGTGGTATGTAAATGAATCCTTATATTCGTTTTCGTTTGTTTATTTTGTAAGATTCTAATGTTGGGTTCACTTTACTTTAAATTTTGTATTTTGTGTGCTTATTTGTTTTTTTAAGGTTTTCGTGTTTAGTGTATTTAGCGTTTGCGGACATGTTTGTGTAACGTTCATTAACATGTTTGATTAACGTTTGCGAATATGTTTGACAAAATACTGAAATTACATCACTAGTTCTTAAGCTCTTTAGATTTTATAGTTTGAACTCCAAAATTTAACTTATGTTTAATTTTGTCTCTACTTTCACCTATATTTAAAATGTAAAAGATAAAAAGAAAAGGAGAATCGGTAGTTTATAAACGAATTTGTTTGTGAACATAAACAAACTGAATATATTTGTGTTTGTTCTTTTAACAAATGAAGATAAAAATTTATTCATATTTATTTATTTATTTTAATAAATGATCAATTCATTAAACATTTTATTCATGGACCCTAATTGTGGTTCAAGTTTTATCGACATATACTTGTATAAGAGATTAAAACATTATATTGATATATTATTTGAATAAACATCTAATTTATGATATAAAAACCAAAAGATATAGAGCATAAACCCCATTCTCTTGAAATCAATAAAAAAAAGTTGATACAAATTTATCCCAAAATCAGTAATTTAGGCCTCAAGATATCAGTCCAAAATGGACCCAACATTTCACCCCATGCTACGCCGCCTTAAAATTCCGTCACCTGATTCACAAGTTAAAAAAGCTTAATAAACCAAAAACGGATGGTTTTAAATGGTAAGCAATTTAATATCGGTTAAGTAAATTCTCAAGTTTGAGTCCTTGCGTATACAGAAAATTCCTGCTAGAAGACTTACCCACCAAAAGTCAGGTGTGCGACGCAGATCGGTCTGAATTAATTAAGGTGAAGCCTTAGAACCGGAGGGCAACAAAAAAAATTTAATAAATTTTTGTTTTGATCACTCATTTGTTTTTTAAAATATAACAATTTTTTTCAAAATATATAAAAGTTTAAATTTAATTTTCTCTAAACTATATATATTTTGGAAAAAATATAAATATTCTTAATTACTCTAAAATAATTATAAAAATGTCTTTTAAAATTCTAAAGTATTTTTATTAGGTATAGAGTTATTATATTTTTAGGATAAATATTGAAATTCAAACTCACACGAGATGAAATAACATGAACATCTTTAATCACTCAACCAATTAATAAATTTCTATAAAATATTTTAAAAACTTTGATAAATAATATATGTTTCTAAAATTTTAAATTTTACCCATAATAACTACTTATTAAATCTTGTACATTTTTATATGGTAGATGTAAAAAAAATAAAGAGACAAACATAACGAAAAATCAAAATTAAATTAATAAAAAATAGTTAAAACGTAAAAATAATTTTTTTATTATAATACAATCATAAAAATAGATATTAAGCCTAAAAGAATCATCTCAACCAATAAAATCTAATTTATTTATAAAAATCTTCTCAAAAAATCATTTATAAAGATAAATAATATTAGTGGAAGAATAAAAATATAAAATTTATGTAAAGTAATATATTTAATATTTAATTAGTATAAAAATAACATGATTTTAAGGACCAATTTTAAAATATTATCCATAGTTTGAGTATGTGTCACGGAATTAGTCCAAATTAAAATTGAGAAAACAAAACATTAAATCAATGAAGAGCAGATAATAAAGTTGGGAAAAATCACGATTTCCGGTATCCGAATCAGAAGAGAAAAAGAAGAACGAGAAGAAGAAGAAGAAGGCAAAACGAGAAGAAATCATGGTAAGCAAATCATTACTCGCTTACTTTCGATTAGATTAAACAAAAAATTGCTGCTTCGGTTCCCCTCGAACAATTAGGGTTTTCAATTTATTGAACGATTCGTTGTAGATCTTACAATCCTAGATAGTGATAAAGGTATAGTTATATATCTAATTTTCCTGATTTTATTCATTACCCCTTCCAATCCCCCATTTTATATTTGTAGAATTGATTCGGTTCTGTTGATTTCATGATTTTAATGTGGTTTTATCGTACAGCTGAATAGAATTTTTACAATTCTTAAAAGAAAAAATCTTTTAGAGGCATGCTTCTAGGGAATATATTTAGGCTGATTGCTAATATATGTTGGCTTTGGATTAATGCTGTTAATTTTTTTTTTTTTGTCGTTAAAGATTTTTCTAAAGCTTGTGTTCCCCCCTCCTTCCATTGGAAAGTAATTAGAAAAGGATTAACCTGCTTTCTTTGTGCTTCTGCAGTCTTCCCTTGCAGCTGCTAGAGCAGATAACTTTTACTATCCTCCAGAATGGGATCCAAGTCAGGTATGCATAGTTTAGATTTATTTGATTTCTTCAACTTTTTTGGTGGGTTTAGGAAAATATTTTGCTAGAGTTAGTTATGATTCTCTTTAAATTTTGTCACTGCTCTTCTTTTCAGGGTGGTTTGAACAAGTTTCATGGGCAACATGCTTTGAGAGAGAGGGCGAGAAAAATAGATCAAGGCATTTTGATTATAAGGTTAGATCAAATTACTTTTGGATATTTTATGCTCTCTTTTGTAAGTTCACCTCAAACATATATATTTTGGCATCTTCACAATATCTATATTAATGGGCTGCAGTATGGCTAATGATGAAACAATAGGCTGAAAGAAGAATATGAGTGAGCTTTTTTCAGGTTAATTTCGTTAAGGAATTCTCACTCTATTCTGATAAGATTGGTTGGCAACTGCGCACTGGCTTGTCATTTTTCTTGACCTGAAGTTCTTTAATTATTTTCTTTACTCAAGAAAGAAATACTTCTCAAGTTCCATACATCTCTTTGACTTATAGCTGTGATCTAGGCTAAGGTGTGGCTTTATGAAGTTGTCTTAATGTTCAATGGTTTTAGCATGGGATTCATATCTAGGCGATAGTCGATGAGCCTTTTAACTTTATAAGTGACAGAAGACCTGTTAAGATTGAGTATTGATCTATATATGAATTAATTCCTTAAGTTGTTTAAATTATCCTTGCCAAGCTTACTTTTGCTGTGGAAAGTTTCTTTCTAAGTGGTAAATGTGGGTCTGATTTTCATTCTTTTTTTGCTTTAAGGTTCGAAATGCCTTTCAACATATGGTGTGGCGGGTGCAACTCTATGATTGCAAAAGGTGTACGGTTCAATGCTGAGAAAAAGCAAGTGGGGAATTATTATTCTACAAAGGTATTTTGTTTTTACTAATTGCATAAGCTACTTATTATAGTTCATTTTAATCTATTCTCGTGTAAATGTTTTCATGTTTTCATTAAATTCTGTTAATTAATTTTTGCTCATCACTGATTTGGTATTCCTAACAATTACTTGTTATTTTAGATATGGAGCTTTACCATGAAGTCTGCGTGCTGCAAACATGAGATAGTCATTCAGACAGACCCGAAAAATTGCGAATATGTGATCATTAGTGGGGCTCAGCGGAAACTGAAGTGTATGATGTTGAGGATGCTGAGACATTAGAACTCCCTGCTGAAGAAGGTAGTAAGTTATATGGATTTATTGATTCTTATTAGATAACTACTTTCAACTATAGGGTTGCCTTAACTTTGCTTGAAAACATAGTATTTTGGAACAATTTGGGCCAATGGCAGTGAACAAACTTCTTCAGATATCGGAATAAAATTCAACAGAAAAACAACCTTGAATCTCTGTAATATCCAATCAAAAGCATGGGTTGACTCACAGGTCTCAATGAGGGTTAAACCTATAGACCTGTGCTTCTTGCTTACTGGGAATCAACTTTTATTATGTGTTTGTTGGTTTTTACAATTATATTTGTTCTACAGAAAGAGGCAAGCTTGCAGATCCATTTTATCGTCTTGAACATCAAGAGGAGGATTTGAAGAAGAAAAAAGAAGCTGAACCAGTACTAGTTCGGCTTCAGCGCGTATCTGATGCCAGGCATTCAGATGATTATGCCCTCAACAAAGCTCTACGTGCTAAACTTAGAGTATGTTACTAAGCTTAGATTGGTTTGTAGGTTGCATATTGTGATGAACTTGCTTGCTAATTTTTCCGCTCTGTTCTCAGGGTCAAAAGAAGAGGGTTCTTGAAGAAGAATCTGCTTCAAGGAAAATGGGCCTAAGCATTCGACTCCTGCCGGCAAGTGAAGAAGATGGTGCCTCTGCTGCAGGAGTCAAATTTCCTTCCAAGTTTGAGAGAAACAGGAAAGATAAGAGAGCTTTGATTAAAGCTGCTTCAATCTTCCCCGGATCATCTGGATCATCCTCGTCCAATAAGAAGAGGTTGGAGCTAGAGTCCAAGAGAAGGAAAATCTGTGCAGCTGCAGCTTCCAACTTATTGACAGGGGGGATTCAAGCCGTCATCATGGTCACACAATGCTGTGAAGAAGAGTGCTTCCTCCAATGCACGGAAATTTTAGCTCGAGTTTTGGTACTGATGCTTCAATTCACATATGTTTAAGAAGAGCTGGGATGGATGGATTCCAATCTCGTGTTTCTTGTGCAAGATTGTGGTGGATCATGTGTATAAGTTTGCGTCTATTGCTAGTTGACTTTCCTCTTTGGTCAATACCAAATAAGTTAGATGTCAATACCAAATAAATTAATTGGATGTTTTTGCTCACTTTTACATGTATCGTTTGAGTTTATATAAACATCATGCCACTTAATTCTTTGGTCATTTATAGTTGGAAACCATCATGTCACCTTAGTGGTAAAAGAAAACGTTCTCTTATAGGTTTCGGATTTTGGTTGTGTTTGCAAGGTGTGTCAATAGATAATAAAGATTCTGAAAAGATATTGTTTTATAATCTACTTCATAATGATTTTAGATTATTAAAAAAATCTTGGGGTATTTGCTTTCCGTTCCCTTTTAATCTTCTTGTGGTGGATGTTGGGCCTGGTTATGTTGATAATAAGGCCAAGACTCGTTAGCACCAGCCTGCATTCTCTTCTTCTTTTTGAAAGAATCCTGCATTCTCAATTGAAGAAAAACGTTTGACTAAGATGGCTTTCCATTGTTCTGAGTGTCCTAGCATATTAGGTTTCGTCCAATACATAAATCAATTAAGGCCTTCTTATCATGTAAAGTTTCCCATTTGATCATGGAAAAAAAATCTTATTGCAACAAGAGTAGGGAGGCAGACGCAACAGGGGAATCATCTGATTCTCTGAAAATAGCAATAATTTGGGGTGGCTGTAATAAATCTTCCCGACAGCGCATGGTTTGGTATGTATAAAATACAGAAATAGAATTATGAAGCACACTAGTTAAAGTGAATGGATTCTATGGTAATCCCAAAGGGGCAAAAGTACATATAATGGAGATGGGTAGTGAAAGTGAAAAGGATGATATGGTAATCCTGAAGAGGAAAAAAAGATGAATACTGCAGTCGCAGTAGTGCTGCTGCTGCTGCCGCCGCCTGCTGACGATCATCAGTAGTACAGCAGCATACACTGATCATTGAGAGCCTTAAATTCCGGCTCAGAACGCACCTTAATTATACATATGCCACTCTTAACTGTACTTAAAAAAAGCATATGCAACACTGTAAGTTGTAAGGTTTTCATATCTCACCAGTCTCACTTATGTTCTGTTTCATTGTTTTTATAGCCTTCCGCTTTCACAATTCACTTTTTCTTTCTGCAGTATCAAGGGGATTCATTTGATGATGAGCATTTACCTTTGAGAAACTAGTTTATACATTCATATATATATTCCGTACTTGCCTTTAATTTGTAGGCCATGCCTTATGTTCATCATTTTTGCAGTCTATAACACCTAACACTGCCATAAGATCACGCAAAACTGACTCAAAAACACCACCAAATCCAAGGTAACTAACCCTTATAAAATAACACATGCATTAAACACAAGTTTTCCACTGCCTGCCATATATATGTTTCAACTCTTTATATATGTTGCTTTTATGATATTATATAAGATTTCACTGTCAGTACAAAAGCCATCCGTCGTATCATATCTCTTACATAACCGTATCCTCTTCCCTTTCTTTAATTTATTTTGCTTGCTTTCCACCCTCCTATATATATATATATTGTCTATATTAAACTGTTGAAGAAAAGAAAAGAAGCAACTAGTGTTTCTGGTTGCAGGAGCCTCTTTTCCGGGTTTGTCGCCAAAATAGTTGAGCCTCTTCATTATTAGCATTTATTTCCTCTGTAGGGTCTCTTTCATTGGCTTTTCTTTTATTTAAGCTCTCATCGTTTTTGGCATTTTAAGGGTAGCTTTATTTGGCTATTTTCCGGGGTGTCGGTTAGTGAGCTTAGTCTTAAAACCTGAAATGATTGTCTTTGACAATATATAATTGATCTTTATTCATTTGCTGGTATTACCCGTATTGGAGTAGGGCTGGGAGGCTGTAATTTGCACTTGCTTTTCATGTTTCGTCTACTTCGAAACCAGTGGGTCAAGAGATGCATCACTGCAGAAACCAAGTGTTTTCAGGTCAGTTATCTTCTCTATGAATTGTTTTTCGAGCACGCATTTACATGTTGTAGTGGGTTTTAGATCCAAAACTGAGAAAATATGGTGTAAGAAAGTGAGTGCTGCTGTTTTATCCAACTGCCAGCCCTTATGTTTGCTTTTGCTATTCCTTTTCCTTTTCACACAAATTTGCATGAAAATGTTAGCTTTCAGATTCAGACAACTGTGTTGCTGCATGTTGAGCATGCATGGATAGTTGAATCATCGACTGTCGTACCCACCACAACTCCACATTCCATTAGGGTCCCATAGTAGATGGATCATTCATATGATTAAGACTACAAATGGACAAACTTGAAAACTATTCGAATTTCACTTGATCAACGTTTGGTCATCACTCTATTTAAATAGATTCAATTTAAGTTCAAACTCTATTCGAGTTATTAATAATATTAAATTGTATATTTTGTTTGTAAAAAATATATATAAAAAATTTATGTACTTAAGGCTTACGATCAAACTTCAATTGAGATAAGTCTGAAAATATGTTGAGTTAAGTTGAACTTTAATTTTTTATTTCGAGTTTTGATAATTTTAAGCTCGTTAATTTTTAGGTCTAGCTCAATTTTAAATTTTTTTAAGACAATTTAAGCTTAACAATATTCAAATTTGACTTAGCTCGTTTATCCATATTCAAAACAATGGGTGCATGCAATTCAATCTCATATTTCTCTTTTCTTCTTCTTCCTTGGGTTAGTCTATATTAGCTAAGAGACTTCAACTTGTTTAAAGGTGGAGATAAGTAAAATTATGAAAAGTAGTAGGGAAAAGAAGAGAAGAATAATGGTCCACTTTTCGTACAAGAGAGAGAGTCCATTAAAACAAGCAAACAAACTAAAGTTGTTGACTTTTAGTACTGTTCTACTTTTAACGATTTACTGCTGCTCACAACCTGTGAACTACGGTTGCTTTCATTACTCCCTGCTGCTGCCCCACTACTCTTATATTCTTCTTTAAATCTATGTTTTTATCATAAATGTAGAGACAAACTGAATCATAATCTTACACAGATTAACAATGATTAGCATTGTTTAATACACTTTTTGGTTCTTTAGAATGTTTTTTTAGTTTGGTATCTATTTTTTTCATTTAGAAGTGGCTTTAACTTTTAATTTTATTATTTAATGAGTAAACTATATCATTGACCACTAGGGCTGTAAATGAGACGAAACAGATCGCGAGCTATTCGAGATCGACTCGATCAAGGCTCGATAAATACTCGGATCGAATGGACTCGACTCGAGCTCGAGATCGACTCGAGTTCTTAACGAGCTACTCGATATTCGACTCGAAAAGCTCGTGAGTAGCTCGAAAATATAATATATTAAGATTTTATTAAAAAAAATAAATTAATAATAATATTAATATTTATGTATTGATTTTTAAAAAAAAACAGTAAGATTTCATGTATTTAAGGTTCATGTTCGAGTTTGAGGCTTTAATCGAGTTAAGTTTAAGAATTTTTTTTTTCATTTCGAGCCTTTTCGAGCTGCTCACGAGCTTCATTTCAGGATTTCGAGTTCGAGTTGAGCTTGAAAATTTTAAGCTCGCGAGTTTTTGAGTAGAGTCGAGCTCCATTTCAGAGTTTTCGAGTCGAGTCGAGCTCAGCAATACTCGAGCTCTACTCGGCTCGTTTACACCCCTATTGACCACTCAACTATGTAGTCAGTTTACTTCTGCTATCGATCTTTCAATTTTGTCAATCAGACCACTTGACTATTTAAATGTATTCAATTAAGCCACTAACCGTTAATGGTTGACGGAAATGTTGACGCGGTCGTTAAAGAAATTAGCATAATCATACATTTAGTCCTTAATGTGTGTATATTCTATTAATTTGGTCATAATTTAAATTTAATTTAATAAATTTAAACCTCTAATCATAGTGACACGTATCACAACACGATTAGAAGATATTTTTTAAAATTTAATTATTTTATTTCTCACCCAATCATATGATGACACGTGTCACCATTGATTGGATGGAAAATTGAGAGTAGAAGAAAAACCCCCAAAGTGGGGGCTTAGAGATATTGAACTTAGGCAAAGTTGAATACCAAGCCAACACCCAAACCACCCAGCCAAGAATAATGTTTGGTATTAAAAAGCAACATATAATATATAACATATTTAATAAATGAGAAAACAAAGTAAAAAAAGAAGAATTGTTATTTAAGTTAAAAAATAATTTAATGATTATATATATATATAAATTGTCGTTAAATTTATCAAATAATTTAAATTTTAAATAATTTTGAGTTACATTTTTTAACATGATTTCATAAATATTTTAATAAAAAATTAATTTATATACATATAATCATTAGTAAGAAAATTAAAATTATTACTAAGTTACAAAAATAAATTTAATGATTATATATATATATATATATATATATATATATTAACTTTATCAAATAATTTTATATATTTGTTAAAAAATAAATTTAATTTATTAAATATATATATATATATATATATATAAATGAGTGATTATTACTTTTTTTAAATTTTTTTTCTCATTCATTACAATCTTATATATTATACGCTGCATTTTGAAACCAAGTAGTGATCTTGGCTTGGTGGTTTGGGCATTAGCTTAATAACCAACTTTGCCTAAGTTTGATTCCTCTAAATCCCCCTTGGGGGTTTATTCTTCTCTCAAATTTTCATCTAATCCGATGATAACACATGTCACTATATGATTGGTTGGGAAATAAAATTATTAAATTTAAATTAGGACCAAATTGATAAAATATATAAACAATAAGGATTAAATGAATAATTATGTTAATTTCTTTAACAGTCATGTTAGCATTTACAGTTAGTGGCTTGATTGAACACATTTAAATAGTTAAGTGGTCTGATTGATAAAATTGAAAGATCAATGGTAAAAGTAAAAGGACTACATAGTTGAGTGGTCAATGGTATAGTTTAGCCTTATTTAAATTACATTAGAGGGTAAACTACTTAAGTGCTCTCTTAACTATGAGATTAGTGTCAATATGAACACAATATTTTTACTTTTGACAATATTATCACATACCTATTTAAGCAGTTTTAA